TAGTACCTCTTTTGCTGTTCAGTTGTTGCTTATTAGGAATCTGTTGCCTAACAGCGGGGGGTTCGATGTTTCGCGGTCGTTGACCAGCAAAGGGATTTCTAAGCCACAATAATACTACGACAATATGCATGTTCCATTAATTTTACCTGTGTAACCTGATATATTCAATACAGGAGAATCAGAATATCGCTGATGTTTCCCGTTCTCTTGGCGGTTGCTTGTCGGTACAGAGATTCAGAAGTTTGCTCCGAGAGTGCTGAACGTAATTGGAAATAATTGAAAGTAGGCTCAGGATTAAAAAGAATAATTAATAAAAATAGTTTCTGAGAAGAGTGTGTCTAGTGAAATTAAAGTAACATCACTGAGCCTTCTTGAGAAGCCGCCAATTGTGCAGCTACTCGAGAACTTCCCGGAATTTTATGGAACCTGAATGTTTATTACCGTGTTCAAAATAGAGCCCTCCACTGGTCCCTATCCTGAACCAGATCAATTCAGTCCACACCAACCCATTCTATCTCTCTAAAATCCATTCTAATATTGTCCAGTGACCTACACGTTGGTGTTTCTAGTGGTCTCTTTCCCTCTGCTTTCCCACGAAATACCTATATGCATTCCTCTTCTCCCCCATTCGTGCTACATGCCCTGCCCATCTCATCATTTTTTACGTTCTCGTTCTAATTGTACTTGGAGAAGAGTACAAGTCATGAAGCTCCTCATTATGCAGTTTTCTCCGAAATCCTGTCACTTCATTCCTCTTTGATCCAAATATTCTCCTCAACTCCCTGTTCTCATACACCCTCAGTCTATGTTCCTCCCTTAATGTCAGAGACCAAGTTTCATACCCATATAGACCCACAGGCAAAATTATAGTTTTGTATATTTTTTCTGTTTTTTATGTTTTTAGACAGCAGACAAGAAGACAAAGGGTTCTGGACTAACGGTAGCAAGCATTACCTGAGTTCAGTCTCCTCTTAATTTCCTCCTGAATCAGGTTTTGATTTGTTATCGGTGTTCCCAAATATCTGAACTGTGCCACAATATTTGTCGAAGATTCCAGAAAGTATCGGTACCAGAGAAGCCAAAATTAAAAAAGATAATAACTCCATGAGACAGACTTTCCCTATTTTATCAACTGCCGTACGAGCCGAATATTCCTTACATTCTAAAAAATTCCTTAAAATTCACTTTCCTTTCTTCAGTTTCATTTTCCGTTAAGCTTCTTTCGCTACTGAGTTTCGGAACTTAAAATTAATTTTAGTGTTTTAGCCAGAACACTTTAAAGTAAGTTCCGTTTTATTAAATTTATACTTGTTATTGCAAAATATTATTATCTTTATGTTTATAAAGGAACGTATAGCCACCGATGTTGTGGTGTCCTCACTTCAGTATTAAGTGCGTAGGAGTTGCGTCACTTTGAGCAATCGGTAGCAGGTTTATGGCTCACCCTATAACATCGTTCACTATATATAGATAATGTGCCAACAGGCAAATTCCATCTCGTTCAAATGAAAAAGTAGCAGGGTGTCATGTTGCGCTATAGGCACATGTGTGGCAGGGTGGAGTATCACGATTGTTCCTACAGAATGAGCTGATATCTCTATTCATTGGGTACAGCACTGGCGAAATCATTTCGGAGCAGAACCGGCAGGGATACCTGTGATGCCATTCGCATTCAGTTCTAATCCCAACACTGACTGAGGTTTGCCGTAAATTTCCTCGGTATCTCCAAGAAAACACTGGAACGGATGCCCAAATTAAAAGTGGGAAACATTTATTCTGACAAACTAAGAGAAGCAGGGAAACAGTTTCGTCCGACATTCACTTCAAATGAAATAATTCTTAGGATATTGTTGCTTATAGATCCATTGCTAGGCAACAACGGCAACAGAAACAAGGATATTACAAACCTAGCTATGCAGCGGCCAGCGCGCAAATAGATTGGCTAGAAATTAGTGTTTTCTACATGATCCTCACCGATGGCTGCGCACGCAACACTGGATACAACAGCGAGGTGTGCTGATTTGAACGCGGTCTGTGCCGGTGGATTATAGGCTGGACAGAGTTTAGAGCTTAGTTGTGTTGTGGGATATTCGCCAGACGGTAAGGACGTAGGCAGAGGATATTGTCGGGTTCTGTTACCAGGAAACGCCTAGTAAAGACTGAAGACTTTATGTGTGCTGCAGTTGCAATTTTCTTTATGGCGTATAATTCAGTGAGGCTGTTATAGTTGCTAGTTGTATGTGTATACATGGTCAGTAAATCCAGTCACCAATGCAAACCCCATCCACACACACTGTCACGTGATAGTATGTTTATCGATGTATTAAGTAGTTCCTTTGCAGAATCTGTATTTGGTGTGTGGTCGTTAAGATTTCTGCCCCTAAGCCATTTCGTTATGCTTCACCCTACACAAATAAGGACCAATCTAACTGTTCCCTGCGCATTTCCCGCATGTTGCACTCCTGTCAAATGGTCCTTACACTTCGAGATCTGGTATGCTGTCTCTTTTACAAGGTTCCTCCTGCCTTAATGGCGTGGAAACTGTATTAGCAGGCACTCACATATCTGTATCGACTTGTGGCTTCGTGATAGCTACAAGATATAGGCCTGTTTGTTGTAATTCATTATTTTTCCCAACGGACAGTAAATTCTCTATCCTAAGTTATTGCAATTGGATTGTGTGAGGCCATATCCACTATTGCTCTGTGCTACATGTATGTAGGTACTAAAATGTGAGTGCATGTAGATAGTGTCATAGCGCCTTATGCAAAAATTGCAGAACCTGACGAAGGCTTTTATTTTTCTTGTATCGACATAATGAATCAGTGGAGCGGATATTTTCTTGAAAAGGTACCAGTCATCCAGCCAGTCATAAAATTGTTTCTCTTAGACCAAAAAATATTTCCCTGTGCTTAACTAATTATGCACTATTCCATGAAGGCGTATGGGTGAGTGGATGAATAGGTCCACATTTTCCTGACCTCAGCACTAGCTGGAGGTGAGTGGTCGGCTTTATCCCCGGAGAAAGGGCTCCCGGTACCCAGTGGATAGGAGACTGAGTGGACCCCAGAACCAGACTGGACGAATTGGACAAGAGAATATTCTAGGCCCCTCCTCGACTCGAACTCCGAACCGTAGTTTGTCCAACCCGCAGCCAGTTACTATACCGACTACACTAATTCTGCTCCCGGTTTCTGACCGTGGTTCTTGTTATTTCTGTTGCGTTTTAGTTATATTTCGGGGAAATTTCTTAGAATAATAACCTATTTATTAGCTTCCCACATGTCATAAAGGAAGACATAAAATCAAACTCCGTGCCCTGCAGTCTGCAAGCGAACTATACCGACCGAGCGACCGCCTCTTGTCGGCGAAGTTAGGGCCAACTTTAGCGGATAGAGGGTGTCGCATGGTCAGGGCAACGGAACCCCACGGCCGTTAATCTGGGTTTTCTAGACCGGAAAGAGGACATAAAATCATGAAAGAGCCCTTGGTTAAATACCATCATTATCTCGATATAATTGCATTTAAACGATGACGTTGCATATCGTTATTTTAATCACACAAGAAGTTCGATAATTGCAGTCACAAATAGGGATATTTCTGAACACAGACACTCTTCCACAAATGAACTGTATGCTATCTTTTAGGACGAAACACATAATTCATGAAAAAATATTCGCTCCCCTGAGAATCAAGTCACCTGTCCTGACAGATTGGTTCACTTGACACATCAAAACCCACGAGAACATATTCGCTGAAGTCGTTCGCTGGGATACGCTACCCTTGTTGAACTTTTCAATTTCGCTATTTTTTCAGTACTGTCCTCCTATTCCCGATCTCCTTTTCTCAGACTTGTTTTCAGAAGTGTCCTCTGCCGTGAGAAGACATGCTTCTGCCTCACATAACGAGTAAATTTTATGGAAGCCGAAATGAAATCAAATGGAGACCACCGAGAATGGTTAGGTTACTCCGAGGCTCATGATCCGCAACTGGAAATTCCAAGCGTTCCAGCAACAGATGGTTTGGCTTCTGGAGCTACTGGAATAGCAACAAAGTTGAGGGTGGAAATCCCTCTGCACTGAAATCTTTTCGAAGTATTGTCATAACCTGCAGCTCCAGTCCATCTGAAATAAATAAACGGAGTCCAGTAGGCCTAGTTCCTGAATATTTTAAGCCATTTCAGAAAGAGACCTCCATCGGTACAAGAAGGAATTTTACTTGTGTGCTACAGATCTAACTGGCAAATCGTCTATATACGTTTCACAGACTCTATTTACATTAGTATATCGCTAATATCAGAATGTAGCCTACACTGGCAATATGTAACGTCCTTCAGACATATCCTCTTCACTCTTATAATTACTTGCACCGCTGGTCTCGGTGAAGTGTCTTGATCCCTTTGTCGGATGCTAGCTTGCTTCTGCTCTGTTGCCCCATATGCACTAAATTTGTCGTCAGCCATGGTGATTCGTTCCTCAATGTCGAGTTACTGGGAACACTTATAGACACTGGAAGTTCCTTCTCTAGAAGGGTGTATTTGTTCGTCTACCCTCATTTCTAACCCTAGACACTATACTTTAACACCAGGGCCCGGATTTTGATGACATGTCATCTTTTTTCCTTGTATCCTATGCGATGCTCTTAAATATACATAAATCTCGGATATGAGCTGCTGGTTACAGAAATGTAAATTTTACAGGTATTTTTTTTTTGTCATTTCTTGACATTTTTAGGTTTGTCATTTTTTTTCATTTTGGGGGTAATTTTTTGGTAAATGTTTGGGCTTTTAAGGTATTTCTTGTCATTTTTGGCCATTTTAGGGAATTTTTCTTCACATGTTTTCTGAAATGTGAATAATATGGAAGCGAAGTGTTCCTTCGCTTTCTCCTTTAGGTCATTTTTCTGGATTTTTTCGGTCATTCTATAGGTCATTTTTAAAATATTTTCAGGTCATCAAAATCCAGGCCCTGGTTATCACTTAATGTTATACTTCAAGTAAAATATAAAGTTTTATGACAAGAAGAATTGCGCAGAACTATAGATATTTCATGAGAGAACCGGTTCCCATGTTTGTTTACCTCTCCCAGCATGCCTTGCACGATGGAGCGACGTGAAAGGCGCAGTGCAGTGATCAAAATCTGCAGTCAAAGCAACAGTCGCTGTCAGCCTTGGATTAAGTTTGTGCTTGTTGGGACAGGAAAGAGCCGGGTGTAACTGATGCACTGTTTATCGCATGTGAAATGCAGCAGGATGCAAGCGACTGTACAAGTCTCTCTGAAACAGAACTGGGTAAGTGACGTACATCAGCTACAGTGATCAGCAACTTGATGTCACTCTTGAATAACCTAATCAAACGGAGCAGGTTGGTGTATCGGTGACGTCTCGTATTTGTATTCTAAAGATGCCGTTTTCGAATCTTGACTGGCTTACTGATTAAGACCTTGCAGGCGAGTACTGGAATGCTAATTTTGCAATAGGTCATCACCGCTTGTCTGAAGTCCTTTTTACATTCTACCCTATTTAACCTGTGCATTTGGATCAATCTCATTAAATAATTTTGGTATTGCTGTTAAGAGAAATGTTATTATATTTGACGGAAGACCTTGTACAAATTTTTCGTTGCTGAAATTTAAGTATTTTGAAACACAGAAAACAGTTTTTATTTGTTATGAACAGTATTGTGTGTTTGATTATGAGAGCCCGGATTCTGATGGCCTAAAAATATTTAAAAAATGACCCATAAAATGACCGAAACAATCCAGAAAAATTACAAAAAAAAATAAGGAATAACTTAAAATATATCATGTCATGGAAGACGTACTAATTTGTTTAAAATGTATTTTTAATTTTTTTTATTGCTAATTGGGTGGGACTAAGTCTCTTGTACTGCGGCCACTTTTGGCCTATTGTACCAGCCCCAGATGATAGGTGAGGGTGATTGTGTAGCAATTGGTGCAATGAAGATTGGCATGGGAAAGCGAAGTACTCGGAGAAAACCTGCCCCAGCGCCACTTTGTCCACCACAAATCCCACTTGACCAGACCCGGGATCGAACCCGGGCCGCCGCGACTAACCGCTTGAGCTATGGCGCGGCCTCTAAAAATCTGGTAACGCCGTGAGTCGAACCCGGGACTTCTGGATCCGTAGCAAGGAACTCTTGACCACAAGACCACAGAGGCGGATAGATTTTTATTCTTTATTAACACTGTGACCACAACGTTACTCTTTTAGAAAATTTGAGAAACTATTAGAGAAGAAATAAAAATTTCCGCCAAGGAGAATCTAGGTTATTATGAACTGAAGAAGCATAAGCATGGTTCGATGAAGGATGCTCAGAATTATTAGATCAAAGAAAACAGGCCAAATTGCAATGGTTACAGGATCCAAGCGATTTAAATGGGGATAATTTGAACAATATAAGACGTGAAACCAGCAGGCATTTCAGGAATAGAAAGCCGGAATATCTGAAATACAAAATTGATGAGTTTGCAGTGAACAGTAAGAACAAGAATATTAGAGACTTGTATAGAGGAATAAATGACCTTAAGAGGGGTTACCAGCCTAGCAGTAACTTAGTGAAGGATGAAAATGGTGATCTGCTTGCAGATTCCCACAACATTTTGAATAGGTGGAAGAACTAATTCTCTCGGTTATTGAATGTACATAGGGTCAGTGCTGTTAGGCAGACAGAAATCCATACAGCTGAGCCGTTAGTACCTGATCTAGCCCTTCTGAGGTTGAAAGTGCTATTGCAAAATTGAAACGGTATAAATCTCCAGGTAGTGATCAAATTCCGGCAGAACTTGTTCAAGCAGGAGGCGAAATAATACGTTCTAAGATGCACAAGCTAATTACTTCTATTTTGCATAAGGAGAAATTGCCTGATCAGTGGAAGGTATTTATTATTGTACCAGTTCACAAGAAAGGTGACAAAACTGACTAATAATTATCGGGGATATCACTGCTATCAACTTCATACAACATTTTATCTAATATTCTCCTCTCAAGGCTAAGCCCAGACATAGATGAAATTACTGGGGATCATCAGTGTGGGTTTCGACATAATAGATCAACTACTGATCAGATTTTTGCATTCGTCAGATATTGGAGAAAGAATGGGAGTACAATGAGACAGTATATCAGCTATTCGTGGGCTTCAAGAAGGCGTCTGATTCAGTTAGGAGGGAAGTATTGTGCATTATTCTGGTATTGTTTGGGGTACACATGAAACTGGTTAGGCTGATTAATATATGTTTAAAGGATACGTATAATAAATTTCTTATAGGTAAGTATTTGTCTGATAATTTCCCTGTCAACAGTGGTCTAAAAAAAGGATACGTTTTATCGCCATTAGGAAAGTCCAAGAAAACAAGCGACTGAAACTAAATGGGACACATGAGCTGTTGGTCTATAATGGGAATCTGCTGAGTGATAATGTAGATACCATAAAGAAAAACACACAAATTTTAATTTGTTGGTCTAGAAGTAAATATAAACTAATTATACGTTGCCGTCTCGTCACCAAAATGCAGGCAAAATCATGATATAAAGGCAGGTAACAGATGTTCTGAAAATGTGGCACAGTTCAGATAATTGGGAAGTACTATAACCAATCAAACCTGATGCAGGAGGAAACTGAGAAGAGACTGAGCTCGGGTAATGCTTCCTACCATTCAGTCCAGAATCTTTTGTCTTCTCGTGTAAGATTTGAGATTTTCACGGCGGTGACTATGAAGAGAGCCGTCTTCTGGGATGTGGCGCCGTCGGTGAACACAATTTCTACACGGTGCCACATCTCAGAAGACGGCTTTCTTCTTTTGTCTTCTCGTCTTCTGTCCAAAAACATAAAAATTAGAATATACAAAACTATTTATTTTGCCTCTGGTTCTGTATTGGTGTGAAACTTGGTCTCTAACATTAAGGGAGGAACATAGATTGAGGGTGTTTGAGAACAGGGTGTTGAGGAGAATATTTGGACCGAAGAGAGATGAAATGGCAGGAGGTTCGAGAAAACCTCATAATGAAGAGCTTCTTAACTTGTACTCTTCTCTAAGTATAATTAGAATTATCAAGTCAAGGGGTATGAGATTGGCAGCATGTAGCACGAATTTGGGAGATGAGGAATGAATATAGGGTAATTGTGAGGAAGCCAGATGGAAAGAGACCAGTGGGAAGACCAAGACATAGGAGGGTGGACAATATGAAAGTGGGTTTTAAGATAGATAGGATTTAATGGTATGGGTTGGACTGATCTGGCGCAGAATAGGGACTAGCGGAGGTTTCTTGTGAACACGGTAATAAACATTCGGGTTCCAAAAATGCTGGGAAGTTCTTGAGTAGCTGCACAATTGTCGGCTTCTCAAGAAGGGCTCAGCTCCGTGAGTGAGTGAGAGAGAGAGAGTGATTGCGTGCGAAATGGCCACGTATTGAGGTTTGTGGAATATAACATTAGTAAATGAGAGCTTCATTATACTGGAAGTTCGTATGTATTGAGAGTTTTTGAGAATTGCATAATGAGGAGCTTCATAACTTGTACTCATTCTGCAATGATAATGGTCAAGTTAAGGAGGATGTAGTGGGTAGGACAAGTAGCAAGCTTGGTATAGAGAAGGAATGTTTTGGTGGGACATCAGAAGGAAAGAACCCACTTGGAAGACCTAGAGTTATGTAACCGGATAATATTAAATTAAGTCTTAAAAAAATAGGATAGGGTGGTTTGTACTGGATTAATCTGTATCAGGATAGGAACCAGTAGCTGGCTTTTTTGAACACGGTAATGAAACTTTGGGTTCCATAAAATATTTGGAAATTCTCGAGTAGTTGAGCGACACTTGGATTCCCAGGGTCTCAGTTCCATGTAGCTAATTAATTAATTAATTAGTTAGAATGATGTATTACTGTACCTAATAGCCGATCACTGTGGCCGCGCGGTCACAAATCTTCTTCACCCGCTATAACACTGGGATCGTAGGTTCGAATCCCACTCGAGATATGGATGACTGTTTATTCTGTTTCTGTTGCTTTTTGTGTAGGTAGCGGCCTTGTGACGGGCGGTTCACCCGTCCAAGGAATCCAAAAGACTGCGTATACACGTAGATTAAGAAGCTGAAGAAGCGACCAAGCTCCACAAGGGCTATAGAGCCATAGACACATTGCTATATGTAATTACCTTTTAACAATTAAGTCATTAAACGCTGTTCGGTTCACAGAAGTGAGTAATTGTATGACATACTGACGGAACAATTGAAATTAAACATGAGCATGGGAGTGAGTGCGATACTGTTGTTTGGAAGTGTCAGTTATGAAGGAAAAATCTCTGCAGAATGTTTAAAGGCACTGTTCTGTTTGTCCTTAGGGCCCTATGATATAGTGAACTCATTAACAGAGAAGTGTGGCTCTCTTTAAGAGATGCTGATTATTTCAGATCCCGAAAAACAATACATATTTCCTTCACTAGAGCTCTTACGATATTCGCTTATCCGAATGCTTGCATATTTGTTCTAACTTCACTTTTATTTTATGAAGTTCCTGCCGAATTGTATGAAAGAAAAACAAACTCCGTGGTATTAGTCCGCAAGCGAACTATCCCGACCCAGCCACCGCCGCTTATCGGTGAAGTTAGTGCCAAATTTAGCGGAGAGAGGGTGTTGCGTGGTGAGTGCAACGAATCCCCACGGCCGTTAATTTCGGATTTCTAGACCGGAGCCGCTATTTCCTTGAAAAAGCTCCTCAATTATCATCACGAGGCTGAGTAGACTCCATTCCAGACCTACTGAGAAAATATCTGGTAGCGCCGGGAATCGATCTGGATCTGTAGCCAGGAACTCTGACCACTAGACCACAAAAAGTTAATATTATGGCAAACATTATCATGTCCATTCTGTTATACTCCGTTATTGTTCTCAGTTTCTGGGGTGTGGACTTCATATCTTCTGTTTTAGGGGGCACCAGCACTTGCCTTTATACTTCGCCGCTTATGTGTGAAGTTACGGGATTTAAAATTTGTCGGGGCGATGCCTCAGTACTGAGAAAAGCATCTAGGTTTAACATCGAAAACAACCGTCATTTAATGCATTTGAACATGTTTCTTGTAGTAGAAAATGCATTTGTTAGAATGAAGATATAATTCTATGAATAAATGAAATACTTTATTGAATATATGATTCCATTATTTATTTATACTTCACATCATTTATAAACACTACAATATCAGTCTTCTCTTGAATATCTGTTACACTGAAGTTTGAGAAATATATGACGCTATTTTTATCAAACCTATAAAACAGAATTAAAATAATCTGTATTTCTCATCTTTTCATGCAACGTTCTTTAACAACATTATTAAATAATTGGTAACGTTTTCTTGTTTATAAACAGGCGCTTGAGAACGGTTAATAATAAGTCCATACTTTGTGAGATAACATTTACGCACTTCAGCCCTCTTGAACAATAATACACCAATGACAATCAGGTTTTTACAGTACATTGTAATTGAGAGAAAAAGGAGGGTGAATTACACAGATACAAAACAAGCGTGCAAAACACACAAACACGCACATACATATCCATAAGTATAGAGTACTTTTAAGGGGGAAAACTGGCATTAATCCAACAAACCATGGTGCTTTAACAAATCAATATGCAACATGTAATTAATTAGTGTAATGTGTTTTATTGGAAATGAAATCAGTTAAAAAAACAGAAATAAATGCTTTCTACTGCACAGAGAAATGTGCCTTAAAATATAATATCAAATTTATACATCAGTTTTTATTCAAAGTGGAATACCTTGATTGAAATTATAAACGACTTGAGAAACGTGAAACAACTTACATTTAAGCCAAATGAAATATTCATACTTATTAACTTGTTGTTAACAGTCCCATTTAGATTGGAAACAATGACAAACGCGTAACTGTAAAAATGTTATACATTAGGCCTTTTAGTATAATTAGAGTGTTACCTGTCTAGCAGAATAATTCGTATAGGAAATATGCCAACGGTTAAGACTGCTGGAAAACTGATATAGTCGGAATACTTAATGAACACCAGATACTTTTTTTTATTGGCACTACAGCCCTCATTTGGGCCTAGGCCTACCTCCATGAAACTCTCCGTTTCACTTTGGTTTTACTAGATCTTAGACATACGGTAGGACTCCTTGGGCGGGTGATCAGCTCGTCGCAAGGCTTCTACCTGTACAGAAACATAGAAAAACGCACACAAACATCCATGCCCTGAGTGGGATTCGAACCCACGAACCCGGCTTCCGAGCGAGCGAAGACAGTGCATGCCACAGCAGAGCCTTACATTACACAAAAAGATTATGTGCATATCCTTTTCAAATATTCGTGAGAAGGCGAACGCTATACTTCAGGGATGACCAACCTTATATCCGTGGGTAAGTGGTGTTCACTGCAGAGTTTTTATACACGAGAGTTTTAAAACTTCAGTTCTTGCAAATATTTAAATAATTGGCAAAGCACGTCATGATTTTCGCCTTATAAAACAGTGCCGAGTGTTTATGAGTGTCCATGTTGTGTTTAGGTGTCATATGAATCGAAGGGATCACATATAAATAATAATATATTATATATGCAAAGGAAATTGCCTATTATTTCTTAAGAATCTTTGTGATACAATGTGTGACAAAACTATAATACGGAAATCGTCACGATATGAGAACGTGAGTTGCAAAAGTATTCGTAATCTGAGTATTTTAAGTCCCACATTTTCTCTCTAGAACCACTGGGTGTCTGCTACGAACTATATATCTCTCCTACGTCTTTATCGCCACAAAACATGAAAGTTAGCCACCCTTTGTTTAAACTATATGCGAAATAATAGCCCAAGCCTCCGTTTTGTGTTCTGTTCCTTCTCTCCGTAACTTGCTTAAATGGAGTGAACTCAGTAACACACATAAACGAGTTCATTCATGTTTTACGACAGTAACATGCCCGCTATTATAACCCATTACGTACAGAGTCCATTTAACTCGAGTGCACCGATAAAATATTATGAATATTTCAATGTGAGGCAGTGTTAGATATAGGATAAAAAAGTTTTTGTTTTAGTAGTAGTACTCGCTTTATTTCCAAAAGAACTATTTTGATGAGCGTCAGTACTCATCCTCTCCCTGAAATACATAATTTATAACTATAAATCGTGTATTAAATTACAGTTTTTATTACTGGTATATAAATAGGCCTATGGGTATGCAATATCTGGTAAAAAAAAAGTGACGTAATCGTCATGCTTAATTAAAGTGCGCGCCATGAACACGTATGGGCGAGCACAGACATTCTTGCTCTCGGTACCATATGAATGCGAATGGTGACGCTGTACTTCCAGGGGATGGAGCTGCCAGCAGCAATTAAATTGGAGGATTCTAGCCCCCAGGGCCGGTCTAGATGTTATGAATGTATTTCTCGAAAACTCGTGCTATATTAATTCTAAAGAGCAACTGTAGCTTACAGTTCCTTCCTGACAGATCTCTGCTAGAAATCTGTAAATATTTCACAAATTCTAACCTTCATTAATATGTCATGATATTTATGAGTTTTCTGTAATTGGAGTTTTGAAATAGAGATAATATTTTATTAATAATTTCTAGGCGATATTGGATTTAAAACACAAAAATTTAAGAATTATTTTAATAAGTAATACTATATATATTTTGAATTGAGCGGCACATATATTGCAAGTTTGTTACTTCATGTTACCAGATAGATGCATAAATGAATATTTTTTAGTTTACAAATTAGCTTGGAAAAACTGTCCGTCTCATTATAATATGCGATACTCTTCATGTGTGTTCATATAAATGAATTACATTATTAAATTTTATATAAATATTTTATCATTCCTGCTTATTTCTTATATAATTAACGAATGGAAAACTATGTTGTAATTTTTTTAATGCTAGTGGGGTGGGACTAAGTACCTTATACTGCAGCCACTTCTAGCCTATTGTACCAGCCCCAGATGATAGGCGAGGATGATTGTGGAGCAATTGGTGGAATTAAGATTGGCAGCGGAAACCGAAGTACTCGGAGAAAACCTGCCCTAACGCCACTTTGTCCACCACAAATCACACTTGACCAGACCCGGGATCGAACCTGGGCCGGCGTGGTAGGAAGCCAGCTACTAACCGGTTGAGCTATGGCGCGGCCCTTGAAACTGTGTTGTAGGGCCTACGCATAAGAAATTTTTGGACAGTACGCTAAACAGTGAAGTTTAACCGCATTTTTATAAAGAAAAACACATCAGACATCCATCTCACTGTATCTTGTTGGACGCGAAAGTGAGAAGTACATTGTGAAGTAGCAGTCAATTCACAAGTACGATCATAACCATGGAAATTGATACAGTAAATTTTATAACACATCCTCTTCTTTCCAATAATAACACAGACACGAATGTTACGATATTCCTTTACGTTGTGCTGTACCGTTATATTCGCAAATGCATTATTTACTACAGCATTTATGTAATTAAGGACCTTGAAATTTCAATGTTAAATCTCCCCATTTTTTATTTTTTATGAATTAAAAGTACTTTAAGTAAGTTCTTAACGACAAGCAAAGATGTGGGACCGAAATTATACTTAATTGTTAACAATCGTGAGTTATCCCATTATTTCGCCATGACTTTTACTACATTCGTGAGTTTAGTTTCGGAAAATGGTTTCCATCTTCCCTGTGCCCCTTGCATATGTTTAATCTTCTTCCTTCTATTCTACCACATTTATCCCCCATCCCTTCATTTGTCTGTCCATTCGTCTTCCCCTCTCACTTCCTTCACGCTGAAACACGCTAATCGCCATCTGTCAGACACTGAGTGCAAATATAGGTCAAAACGTACATGAAACTGGCTTTTATGTCTTCTTAGTTTCGAGAAATCATTAATAAGATCTACATTTTTCTCAAGGTAACAATATGCGATGAAACTATTATAACTATAACACACAAATATATTGTTCACATTGCTTAAACATTACTGTTAATTACTCACTTTACGAATTTGTGCACATTTTACTCAACATCTCATTGCATTAGCTATACAACAAGCAGACATATAAATGAACATACACAAAACATCATGAATAATTCACGACAAGTATTTCTGAAAATATATTTTTATTCAGTGTATATTTTTATATCGGTAAGTTTTGATAGGCCCGTGTAAGATGTAATTCTTACTTTAATATCTGTTGTAGAGTTAGTAACAGTTTCAATTAGGAAGTAGAATGCCGGAAACTGACTTAGAAACAGCGGAACTTCACCGAGTCCTGTGTTCAAATGCTGTCTCTTCTCAATGACATTTCTTCTTATCCTGCATGCTACAATTTTGCATAATAACCACTCACTCTCCATGTAATGGGACTCCAAGAATCGTGTAAAATATAATCTTAGACAACGCAGAACATTCCACAATTTCTCTTTCTATGTATTTTTATGATTATGAAATGAATCAAATAAAACCTGTTCTATTTATTTAATGTCGGTAGAAATTTGGGTTTGAGGCTAGAACCGGAGAATAAAGATTGAAAAACACTTACAAACTAATCCTCATGCCAGTGTGTCATTAGTGGCTGAAGACAGAGTGAACTGACGAATCATGTTTTTCATAAAGTGAACTTTAAATTTTCTAAAAGAAAATTAACAAAAGTCAACCGCAACTATGAAAGTCGAAGTCAAAACATAGTAATTGTTAAAAGTAAACAAAATTTGTTACTCTCTTAATGACGGAAAAATGTTAAGCCCGAGCCCAAATTCTATTCTCTATCAAAGTTTAAGTTCCATTCATCCTCATATTTGAGTTTACGGTTTTAGTAATATTTTGGCAAAAGTGATTCTTCTTAACTTCGTTTCAATCAAAATAATGTCGTTGTTAGAAATTTGAGTGTAGCTTCCTGAACAAAATCAAGTGTTCATATATATATATATATGTTGCGATTTTATGCATTGATTTAACATTTCCATTAACATATGTTCATTCTGATTCTGCTCGCGGCACTGGCCTTCTTAACTCGTATTGTATCTTCAAAATCATTAAATGTCAAATATCTTGCCCATTATTTCTGCCCACTAGAGAAATGAAGGCAATGTACTATTTTAAGACAAACTTTACAGTTCACAGAGGAAACGAAACAGTTCCACATCCCGTGAATGAATAGGGGAATTTCATAGCGCACAAAATAAAAACGTAATCGTAATTTTCTGGCTCTTGTGTTTCCGCGACTGGAGCTTACTGAATGGCATCGGGTTTCTGGAATGTACCGTCCAGAGTACTGAAGCTTTCAACACATGAAGAGCACGATCTTTTAGAATACTAATCCATGTAGTTCTTTTTATATGTTTTATAACGTTTCTCCGAAACGTCCGTAAACATTTGACAGACTACGTGGAGTAACATCCCAACAGGTACTGTCATGAAAACCCCAGATATCACGTATCCTACATGAACATTCGAGTATCTAATATTTTAAAATAGTATATGTGATAATTAAAATAAGAAATGTTGGACTCTAAAGAATTTGTTTTTATCTGGAAAAACAAAAGGTTGGATCATTATGCACTGTATGCTGATTTTCGCATCATAAACTACGCACAGAATACAAGTTATGTCTAGTGAAATCCATCTGCTCTACGAACCAATGTGCGTTATGTTATGTGTACAGGCAATGTCCGCACCCATATATTTGAGTTGCGGGCTGGGGTATTATTAACAAAATTATATTGACAAAATATTACAGTAACTTTCTAATGATGACGTAAATGCCTACGTCACTACCTAACGATGACGCAACTTAGATTCCGTAATAGATATAAGTGGTTAAATTATGAAATAAAGAGATGGAATATTTTAAAAAGTAAGTGATTATAAACTGTCAATTTTTCTTGGTGTTACTGTATAAAAATATTGAGTGAAATGCAGTTTTATCTTTATGTCTTCCAGATTGTCTCGGCTTTCTAATTTAATTCAGTTCCTTCAAGAAACATACTCAGTGTATTTTAACTGTAGGAAAACCGAGGTTTTCACTGACATGAACATTATATTTCTCTAATCTGACTTATGACTCACGTAGTCTCGAAGGTGGACATGTATGCTGAAGTTAAAAGCAGAAGTTTCCTTCCAAAATTTTGGTTATCCTACCAAATTACATGATGTCATAACCAACAATACCATGATTTAAACTATTCAATTGTCTTAATAAAAAGAGAATTAGTTCTTACAAATAATATTTACTGCAGGTTATATAAATAAATCCTATTCTTTTGTTCATGAACACAAGGTAAATTTCAAATTCATCGTCTGTGTCTGCAACAGCTGTACACCAGAGATATGGAGAATACCATATTCGTAGAGTAAGCTGCAGATAACTTCCAAGTACAGAGTGGCGGGTCACGTGAATCGGCTTGGCATTAAACCTGCTCAGTTCAGAGGATATTGCAGGCCGTTCCGTGCATCACTTCTGAGATGAACATCGGCGTGCCTGCTCCGAGACCACCGTCTGTCTTTTCTTGATCGTTCTGGTCAGATTCGCAGTCGAAGTAGCGGCTCTGCAAATGAACACACACTTACACGTAACAGATACATAGACTCGGTTAGCCACGCAACACACTTTGTCCTAACAATTACTTACTTACTTACTTACTTACTTACTCACTCATGGAGCTGAGCCCTTCTGGAGGAGCCGCCAGTTCTGCAGCTACTCAAGAATTTCCCAGCATTTTATGGAACCCGAAGGTTCATTACCGTGTTCACAAGAGCCCTCCACTGGTCCCTATCCTGAGCCAGATCCATCCAATCCATACCATCCCATCCTATCTCTCTAAGATCCATTCTAATATTGTCCACCTAACTACACCTTGTTCTTCCCTGTTTACTTGCTTGGCAACTGTTTAGAGCATCACTCAAACAATCACTATGCAAAGCCACAACACAAATTTGGAACATTTATCAGCAGGAATATATTAGGGCTCTTAATAAAATGTGTCATAATAAACAAGATAATTCTTTAGAGCTTATCTCAGCGTAACCCAGAAGAAAACTGTTCAACTTCGCTAGTATTCCACAAATGTACTTTTTTTAAATCAGTGTTTTATATTACAGTTAAGGTTCATTTAATTTCTAATGATAGAAACTAAAGAGTGAAGAAAAAGTGAAGTAAAAATGAAGTCCGTCCCTGCTCTTAACTGATTAACCACTACACCATAAAGGCGTATTGGGGAGTGGATGTATAGAGCCACGTTGTCTTGACCTTGGCATTAGTTGGAGGTTAGTGGCCAGCTTCACGCACCGGCCGCTTTACTCCCGGGGCAAGAGCCCAGGTTCCCATTGGCTACGAGGTTGTGTTGACCCTAGAGCCGGTCTGGCCGACTTGGAGAAGAGAAAATTCTTGGCCCTATCGGGACTCGAACTCCGACCCCTCAGTCGTCCAGGCCGTAAGCAGTCAATATAGCGACTATCATACCCCGGCTCAGAAACTAAGGAGTTGTAATTCTGATTTTCATAAGAGCTATGAAACTTCAGGGACAGAATACTCGTGGGTAATTATATGTAGACATGCGTACTTGAAAATCTATAGAGTATGTCTATTTGAAAGCATGAATATGAATGCTAGTGTTTAAATATCGCGTTAAATTCTTTCTGGAGCCCAGAGGTGGCGTCAGTGTAAGCATCCCTATATAGTATCAAATGACTGTATAAAAATTGTTCTGAAATAACGTTCTCATGCTTGCAGCTTGTGATGTGGGGAAAGAGCAAGTACTCTTTGCGTTAAATCCTTCAACTTAGTACGCGATATATCTCTTAAAAGAAGGGCACGAGATGATGAGACATTTTCCACAAAAATAAAAAATAATCAAATAATAGTAAAAAAACAATTGTAACAATGGCATGTTACGTACTCTAGTGTATAAATAGTGCAGGTGATATCTGAACCTACTGTTTTGGTTCTTCCAGAAGACTTAAGTTTTCATGGCAACTCACCTGGCAGTCCAGACACCGACAGTGGTCACTCATCTTGCAGGTGATGCCCCACTGGGCCGCCACGGCCCGATACAATTCCTTGCTCGACTTATGCAGTATTTCCGGTCGCTTCACCTCTGTTCTCTTTTCCTTGCGCTCCTCATCCGGGGTGTGACACGCGGACTCTGCCTGCGCTGCTGCCAATCTGGTCTACTTGAAGCAACACATACTGGTTACTATATCGATGCAAATATTTCTTCTTTGTTTGATTTTAGCTGCATAAGGTCATTCTTAGCCGTCATTAGGTGGGGTACCCGTGTTCATACAAATTACTTCCCTATTAGGCACGAATATAATATTTTTAATTATTGAATAATTTTGGTAGAAGTGTATACAAAAATATAAAGCTGTCCCTGTGACAGACCGTGGAGGCCCACAGGGTTGTGAGATGTCGAGGTTCTCGCATTTTGTAGACAGTCGGCTCACAGATGGTGGTGGGGTTGTCAGCCCTATGTGTTGGCCAGCCGGCCATTACCCCCAGGAAGATTCCTGGTACTCATTTCTGTTAGAGGCTGAGCCGACCGTAGTGCCATATTGCAGCTGGAATGATTAGATCAATCGAAAAATATCCACCTGATCGGGACTCGAACCAGCGACCTTCCGGCTTGTAGCATAGTGCCTGATCCAACTACGCTACCGCGTGCCCCTTTGTTAGAATGCATAAAAGTTTTGTATTTTCTAAGGTGTATTTCTTTTGTCGTGTTTTGCTCCACCCTATATATAAATATGTGTTTGTGTGTGTGTGTGTGTTCCGTTTCCTACCGCGATCCTAAGAAAATATCCAAGGATGCGAAATTTATCCATATTTTTGCCAGCATGAAATGTAGGAACGACTATAATTTTTTTAGATATGACTTAAAACTTCATTCCAAATTTTTTATTGCATGATTACATTTTAAATTCTTTAATGAATACGGCGCCGTGCAGATCTTGTGTCTGTTAGCCACCTGCTCACGCTGCTTCCTCGCTCGCAGTTTTTGTAACCTGAAGATGGTGGCGACACATTCCTCCGAAACGTCAGTTCACACAAGATCTACACGGCGCCACATCTCAGAAGTCGGCATTCTTCATCCATATACAAGACGAAGAACGGTACTTCGCCTTGTGTTACATACAATCTTCAGATTCTAAATTCACTTAATGCTAACTCTGTATACAGTACATTCGTATTCGTGTAAAGGCGTTTGAAAGAGCCTGTTTCTTGGCGCAGTCATCCTGTGACACGATCGAACAATTACTCTTTTCTTCTGCACTCAGACAACAGAAAGTTGTCAAAGATAACTTTCGGGATCTTGCTTTTAGCAGCCCCTGAATTGGCTATTGATTATCTTCATAACTTCAGCCAAAAGCTGTCTCTCACGGGAACAGAAGAACTCCTTCAAATATGTCTATAGAAAACTCCAGGCAAACAATCCGAAGCCAAAGTGGCACCAGAAAACTGCTGGGAAAGGTCATACGAAAGAATGAGGGTCATTAATGCTGTATGTGCCACCGGCAACCCGGATAGCTCAGTCGATATAGCGACTAGCTACTGACTGGACGACCGAGGGGTCGGAGTTCGAATGCCGGTGGGGTCAAGAATATTCTGAACTCCACGTCGTCCAAACCGGCTCCGAGGTTCACCAACCTCCTATCCGATGGGTACAGGGGGTTTCTTCTCCGGGAGTAAAACAGCCGGGGCGTGAAGCTGACCAGCTAGTGCCGATGTCAAGAAATTATGGATCTATACATCCACTCCCCCTTACATCTTCATGGTGTAGTGCTGAATTAGTTAAGCACAGGGACGGATTTAACTTTTATATGTGCCACCATGGAAAATGACGCATAAAAGCAGTGGTTCTTAACCTGGAGTACACACATACTCGCGGAGTACGACATATGCCAAATTTCTCTCAGAAAGTAAATCGCCGAAAGCACAGGTATGGAAGTACAACTCCTGTGTTTCATCAATTTTATGTAGTTAATATTTTGAGTTTTAACGATTACTGTAATATATGAACAAAAAAATATTTTCATTTCACTAGGTTTGTGATAGTGAGCTGACTGGTCTACTTCAATAATTTTTGTTGAGGGATGTCAGACCGTATTGTAACATGTAGAGCCATTTCTAGGCAACGCCCGAAATACGCACACGAAAAAGTGGAATCATGTCGCAAGAGGTGTTTTCTGTATGGTCCGCATATATTCATCGCTAGGTAACAGGTCAATAAACATGCATTCTTGACAACAGAAAGACGGTGTTTTCCGTGTGGTCCGTGTCGAGGAATTATAAGAGGGCACAATCAGAAGAAATGAAGAAGGTTGAGGCTTAAACATGGCGGCTGTCAAGCATACGACCGTTCAAGTGACTAGCGGAAGCTACCAGAAATAGGGCATAATCTGTTGTACTGAGCCTGGACTGACAGAGGCCCTGTGTATATATTATATACATTTATTAACATGTTTAACATGTAAAATGTAAATATCCTTTACGTTATGACAGATGACTTACTACTGTAGACAATGTCTCTAACAAAAGTCAGACCCGTCCTCTCGTCAGAGAGGGCGCCCCACAATAGCAAGACTGTAACTGTCAAACAGTAATAATATCTGGTCATGAGCCCCAATTTGGGTTCGACACCAAGACTGACCTGACCTGACCTGGGCTGGCTGGCTGGCTGACTGACTGCCTGACTGCCTGACTGACTGACTGGCTAACTGGCTAACTGGCTGACTGACTGATATGGCTGACCGTCAGTCGAAATGTGTCTTTGCCTTTGAACTGAAGAAATACGAAACCAGAAGAGAAAGTATTGACGGAGTACAACGGAGTTGTGAGATGGATGGTTCAGATGCTAAGTGTTAACCAATGGAGAACGGAAGCTGAAGTATCTGCATTACTAAGATTCGTTGCCAGGAAACGGCTAGTGAAGACACGGCAGAAGAATAGCCATTGTGGAGAGCAGAACCACTTTATCGAAAGGCAAAACAAAATAAAATGGCGGTGGAACTGTGTTATACATTTTTTGGGTCCCTCTGTATGTAGCTTTATTTGAATGCCACATCTGCTCTCAACGGACTACAGGGCGTTATAGCTCAGAAGATTGTACTCTTCATAGCCAGCGATGCGAGAACCTCAAGTCTTATGAGTATTTGATTATACACGTATTGTAAGTTACGAAACCGTGTTGTCTGGCAGGTGCCTCCATTAGCTGAAGATGTTTATTAATTGTATTAATTAGTACAAATAGAACCACAGAATTGGAACAACCACTACTTAAGACGTGACACCATCATATATGACACGATCCAACATACACAATAATTATACCGCAGCCACTAAAAAGGAATATAGAATATAATTTCATACACATGCGGAAAACCACCACATAATATGTCCACAAAGAATTTAAAAATAACGCAGATTCCAAGAAATCCCATACAACATCATAGACTTTAATTCCACTCTAAATAATAGAAAAATTTTAATTTTTGAATTTTAATTTTAGCTTTTAACTTTCAATCGAGTTATAACGTTTTGCATTTTAAGACTAATGTCCAAAACATAACGAAACACGTGGATCATAATGAAATCCATATTAATGATTACTAATATGGATCCACAATTTAAATTGAATTCAGTAACGAATAGTATATTTCATGAAAAACTGCCTGATGATAATCCAGCTGGATCGAAACATGTAGCAAAAGCACATAATAAAACAAATGATAATATTATAACATCGGTTATTTATTACGAATTTGTTGTGTTGACAGTTGTAAAATAATTCCATAATAGAATTCTTTACTGATGTCAATACCTCAAATTCCATTTAGGAGTCCATATGCCATTTTATTTCCTCCTGAAACCATTGACTGCACTCGTAATGAAATGTTTTGCTGGGATAAATGCGCGTGCGTAGTTGAGATTACTCACCTCAGCGAGGACGTGTTCGTATGACGGAGGAGGTGAAGATGGTATCGTGTTGTTCTGTACCACTCTCGGTTCCGGCGGAGGGGGCAGGCCCAGAAGCTCTGCTCTCTGCCGCGCCAGTTCCAAGGAAGGGTCCTGTCGCCCCCGGATGGACTGTCCAGAATTCTCCTCCATTACCCTAAAACAAGTGACGCCAGCCCCTCTCCCGACAGTAACGCCGCCAGACGGCGACGAGGTCGTCTTCCTCTTAAAACAGAAGCGCTTCTTCTCTGAACTTTGATTTCTCTCTGATTTTGGCTTCTTTCTGGGCGCCCCACGGCCTTCAAAGTTGTCCTCCTTTGCCGACAGTTGTTCTGGTTCTTATGTCAACAACCCCGGAGGTGGCTAACGCTTACGTCAGATGTTCCTTTGTCTTATATTTCGTGAAATTTATTCTTGAGTAATCATCTCTTTGACATATTAGGTCTAGGAGTAAATCTGCCTTAGGGCGTTTTCTTAGATATTTGCACGCCGGTTATTTTTGTGTCCAAGAAAACGTTATAATAATTTGCAACAAATAAATTATTTATATCCAATAAATTATTTGGTTAGATACTATTATAAATCATTTTATCGTTGGTTTAATTAAGAGAAACTTAGCTGTTAGAGATTTAAAATCTTTTTACTTTTATTCCTAAACAATATGAAGTAGCTTCACAGACTGTCAGTTATAAAATAACCGACGTATCACACTGCTAAGCACTGAGTTCTCGGGCGTTCTGAACAAAAGGCTTTATTCGAAAATATATTTGCATCTTTACCAAAATTTATTTGTATTAATAAATTACAATTTCTTTCAAAATTTCTAATATTTAGAAATATTATTTGTGTCTGCATATGACTGTGTTATATTTGTATTAACATTGCGTTCAGCTAGTTTTCTCAAAGCTTAATTTCTGTATAAATATCTTGCAACCTTAAGTGTGGTTTTATTGTTGTAATGAAATGTGTCCTTTGATTAGTCTCTCACTCTCTTTGTTCCCGCAACAGCGAAAGAAAATCCGTATTTCCCAATAAAAATGAATATACGATTCTGAAGAAAAAGTACTAAAATTATTATATATAATTCACTAGATTTTCGGAAGTCATTTGAGATATGTAAAACAAATCTGAGGCTCTAAGGCTTCCAGAATATTCATGATGCAGGTGTACATATATAGTATGGGACTGTTGGCACTCAGATGGGTTTTTCGGCTTGTGTCCCTCTTGTTACATAAGGTCGCTTGTCCTTTATCAGCTTTTATCTTTCCGCACTCTGCGCGGAGAATGAAGAGTTCTTGTTCCTTTGTCTGCTTTAATGGAAAGTATTTCTCACGTCCTTCATCCACGGGATTGTTTCAGTTTCAGTTCCTGGAGAGAGAAAAATCTCGGATAAACAAACTTCAGAGATCAGGGTGGGTGCTTGAGAAAGTAACAGTCGCTCAGCTAACCAAGTTATTCCCGCTTTCATGGAATCAGAAGGTTCATTATCGTGCTCACAAGAGACCGAAGGCAAGGAAAAGTGAAACAGAAAACATTTTATATCATTAGTCTGTTCTATGAAACACGAGTAAATTTAAAGGTGCAGCATTTTCATTCTGAGTATTTTAAATACACGTTCACAAATGACACAAATTCTGAGTAAGGAAAACGAAGAAGAATGAAAGAATTTACCTTTAACCTTACCTTGCAGAATTATTAAGTTATGAAACTTAGAAAATCATATTATTTCCAATATTCTGGGTATGAAGAATTTTGACATAGGCTCCAAAAACAAAGAACACAATAAATTAAAACATCCTCTGACATATTTTATACCGGTAGAAAAATAAATTTTTTGTTTAAATTCTCTGATTTCGTAGAACATGTATTTTAAAAGGGTTTTTGAGCAGTACTCGAGAGATTGGACGGGATCATGTGGCTCAGGCGGCTCTTGTCAACACGATGGTTACTCATGTTCTAGGGAAGCAAGAAATGAATTCAAGAGCTGATTGACTACCATCGTCTCAGGTAGGGTTCTACTGCATGTCACCAGATATCCTTAGGGCATATTTCAGAAAGAACATCTTGTGTAGTTCGATGACACTAGGTTCTTGCGGTAAAAAAAAAAAAGAACTATGAGCTGACAGACAAGGCTATAAGAAAACAGTGCCAAAGCTAATATATTAAAGAAATTAACGAAGAATTCAACTCAGATGCAGCTATTACGAATGGCAAAATGTAAACAAATCCGAAATTTTACTGCCGCCAAGAGAATAACACCAAGACATACATGAAAGAAGAGTGAATCTAAAAATGACTTGCAGTAGACAAAAAATACCAAATAAAGAACATTACTGCTATTATATTTGACCTGATTTCATTTGTAAGTCGGTGGGAATTTTATAATTTTTTATTACAAGCCCGAATACCTCGGGTTCGATTCCCAATGAGATCATTTGATTTTTCAGTTGACCTAATCCTTCCAGCCGCACTATAGCCTTAGGGTCGACTCGGCCTCTAACAGAAATGAGTACCAGGAAACTTGCTGGGTTAAGAGAGGTCGGAGCGTAAGGCTGACAACCCCACCGACATCTAGAAAACATAGTAACCTCGGATTCTCACACCCTTTCTGGCCCTCACGGCCTCTTATACGGATAACTTCACCTTACAATACTGCAAATAGTACCATAGCTGAAAATCTAATGCTTAAATAAACTCCGGCCAGCTCAAGCTTACCACTATTTCGAAGTCCGGCGTTTAAAGGTTAATTTGACACCATACGAGTGTCTGTAATAGTCAGACACTGGATATACGGGAGCGTCAACTGATATTTTAATACCGTATTTACGCATGTATAGGCCGCGTGCGTGTACTCGTATAGGCCGCAGCACAATTTTCAGACACAAAGTATAGAAAAAAAATAATTTTCTTGGAATATTATTTCAGGAGTAGAACATCCTGTATTACTAATTACGAATATAATTTTTTTAAAATGAAGTGTGATTTCGAATATTTCGAATATAAGCCGCACCCCAGTTTTCCTCTTGAATTTTTGGCAAAAAATGTGCGGCCTATACATGCGTAAATACGGTATCTTAGCAAATTTTAACACAATAATGCTATTGCCATTAAGATACGAGTGTAATGGAACTGCTAAACTTGAACAAAATATAGAGATCTATTTAGTGACTGAACGGCCGAGTATTCGGGAGGTGACTGGGTCAAATTTCGAGTGGAACACAGCGATACTGCTGTTATTCTTCGAGGGCTCGCACACTTCCACCAGGCAACTTCTGGAATGGCAACCCAAATTTGGATTCTACCCCTTCCCTCCACATCCTGCCAAATTCATTTTCATTCGACCCATGTTATCAGATTCTGATTGTGCTGTTGAGGAAACCGTATTTTTTTTATTGCTAGTGGGGTGGGACTAAGTCCCTTACACTGCGGCCACTTCTGGCCTATTGTACCAGCCCAAGATGATAGGTGAGGGTGATTGTGGAGCAATTGGTGGAATGAAGATTGGCAGGGGAAACCGAAGTGTTCGGAGAAAACCTGCCCCAGCGCCACTTTGTCCACCACAGTTCCCAATTGACCAGACCCCGGGATCGAACCCGGGCCGCTGCGGTGGGAAGCAAGCGACTAACCGCATGAGCTATGGCGCGGCCCTTGGTATAGCGACTTGCTTCGAACTGGACGACTGGGGAGTCGGAGTACGAATCCCGGGAGGGTCTCTTATCCGCGTCGTACAGACCGGCTCTGGGGCTGTCAGCCTCCTATCCAATGGGTACCAGGGATTCTTTCCCCGGGGTGTGAAGGTGACCACTCACCTCCAACCAGTACCGAGGTCAAGAAAATGTGGCTCTATAAATTCACTCCCCCCTATGCCTTCATGACTTAGTGCTTAATTAGTTAAGCACAGGAACAACTTTACCTTTTATTGTGGTGAAAGTCAAAAGACGTTCTGGAAGAACGTATCGCCTCCATCTTCAGGGTTGAAGAGTAAGCTAAGAAAGAAACTAGCATGAAGGAGCTGCAACGGAAACATGCTCCTCTGAATCCTAGGGTCACTTTCACCGAGCTGTACGGTGTTACCCCACATAAAAACACCGTTGCTTTAGTCCGCAAGAGAACTATACCGACCCAGCGACCGCCGCTTGTTTGCGAGGTTAGTGCCTACATTAGAGGATAGAGGGTGTCGCGTGGTCAGCTCAACGAAACCCCATTGTCTTTATTTTCGGATTTCTAGACCGGAGCCGCTATTTCCTTGAAGTGGCTCCTCAATTATCACGAGACTAAGTGAACCCCGATCCAGACCCACTACTTCTCAGAAAAAGTGGTAGCGCCGAGAATCGAACCGGGACCTCCGGATCTGTAGCCAAGAACTCTGACCACTAGACCACAGACGCGGTCACATAAGATAGAACTATTTCATAGTAAGGATTTCCTGAACTCCAAACAGAAGTGTTAGACATTCAACTAAGATTTTCAATTTTTTGTAATGTAGATTCAGTGCAGTTATATATATGTACTACGTAGATCCACAATTTTGAAATCGCTCTGTTAATCTACTAAGTGGAATATAGACGATATAGGAATAATCCCTTCAAGGTTCTCTGACGTCACTGTTGCAAAGTATCGGTAAGCTTTGTCGATGTATAAAAGGGGACCAACTAGTTTGTGGATGTCGCATAAATGTAACCTAATGGTATTCCTTACAAAAATTGTTTACTTCAAAAAGAGGATGGAACGTTTCATATTACTCTGTGGTATCAATCACTTTTAAATACCGTAATAAAGCCTGTAATGGTGGGATATGAAGAAAGTTCTTCGTGGAGGTTTTAGCAGCGTGCCTGTACACTTTCTCAACTTGTTGATACAGTCTGTAGCGACGTCATTACGCCGTGTCCCGCACATCTGGCGCCTCGGCTTTCGGGAATGACGGCCCGTCACAACACAGGCTCCACCTTGCATGTATACAAGTTTGCAGTGGTTGCAGCAGTACCTCTCCTTGCTAGTGAGCTAATTAAGGACGTCACGGTGTCACTTACGCGAACTACTGCTCAACTTAATTAACTGATTACATGGGAACAGCATTACTGGACGCATGTGGGTGCCTCTGGACAGACTTGTTGATGTTGCTCCAGTGAAATTGGTAGGTCACAACGAAGCGAAACTGCCTTCTGTCGCTATAGAAAATTCCTTTTGGTATCCATTTCGACAAAGAAGGAAGAAAATAAGATGATCATGACGTTTAAAGCTTAAACTGGTCGATAACAAAGTGTTACCCTAAATATAATTCACTTTCTTCCAGATAATTTCTCCACACTTTTGCCTCGTGCAATCAACTCAATTTGTCCAAATAAACAGTTTAGGTAGTAGTAATATAAAACTTGTAGTAGAATTTTAATCCATTTTGCAGTGTTTCTTATTGAGGAAGATCGCCTAAGAGCTTTTTCAAAATGTTATCTGCCTGTCGGGAAAAAGGACACAAGCTACTTGTGTCATCTCGCACCACCCGCCATAGGATTGATAGCGTAACCGGCGTATAACCGTTCATTAGAGTTTAAGTACTATAAATTAGATTAATTATGGATAATTAAGTACATATGGTCAAGTGGTCAGACTTCCTGCCTACAGATCCAGAGGTCTGGGTTAGATTCCCGGCGTTACCAGGTTTTCTGAGAAGTAGTGGGTCTGGAACGTGGTCCTCTCAGCCTTGTCAGGATAATTGAGGAGCTATTTCAAGGAAACAGTGGCCCCGGTCTAGAAAACCGAATTAACGGCCATGGAGATTCGTTGCGCTGACCACGCGACACCATCTATCCGCTGAAGGTGGCACTAATTTCGCCGACAAGCGGCGGTCTCTCGGTCGGTATACTTCGCTTGCGGACTCAAGTCATGGGGTTTGGTTGGTAATTAAGTACAAGTTATACATAAGGTAAATTAAGTACTTAGTCTCGTTTTTGCGTTCAGAAGTGAAGAGGATGTGGCATTCACTACACCTCCAGAATTTTTCTGTCTAACTGGAGCAGTATTCCTTTCAGAATTTGAAGGGCTGACAGTTATTGCCAGCTATCACTCAGAGGCAGGTGGTGCAAACACCTCCGCTACCGGAAGGAATCTATCATGAAGCTGTCAAAAAGGCAGTTATATAATTAAGGGCTGGAGTCGCCTGAGAAGTTAATATCATTAGTAAATGTAACTTTCTGGTCAACTCCCAGAATTTAAACTGGACCGACATAGCATGTTTAAGGGAGGGGCTTCCTCTTGGGAGTACGGGTTCAGAGAGCTCGCTACTTCGGAGAGCTCATTCACAAAAAGGAATCGTCTCCCAGATTCTAAATTTTATCATGTCGTGCCCGAACTACTGGGACATTGGTAAGTCT